TTGCGGTGACCCCCGGGTGTCCCCCGCAGAGTCCACCCCGGCACCATGCATTCCCTGGAGGAGCCCCTGGACCTCAAGCTGAGCATCTCCAAGCTGCGAGCTGCCCGGGAGAAGCGCGGTCCCTCCGGGCCCCGACCCCGCGCTCCCCAGCGCCCGGACACCCCGCCGGTCGGGGATGGCCGAGGGGGCAGCCGAGGGGGTCGCCGTGCTGTGCCAGCCTCGCCGTCCCCCGGGCTCCTGGCACACTCCAGGCTGGTGGAGCCGCGGGATGGGCGCTTCCCGGCTGCCGTGCCGGTGGTGGACCTCAGCCTCTCGCCCCGCTCCGGGGGGGAGTCTCCGGCTGGCAGCGCTTCGCTGTCCCCTGAGCGCCAGGGCAGCGGGGACCTGCCCGGCCCCCTCACCCCCCACGTAAGTACGGCCGTGACCCCCCGCGAGGTGTCCCCAGCGGTGGGGACTGTGCCCAGACGGCGTTCCCAGCCTCGGCAGCGTGCCCAGTGCTGCCGGTGTACACACACCCTGGGGTCAATGTCCTGCCTGCCCTCCCCCCTTGCCCCCTGGCTCCAGTGGCATCCCCAGGGTGCCTCCGGGAAGCTCTCTCAGGGGGTATCTGTGAGGTTTTGGGGTCCCTGGGGTGGGGGAGGGGGGGGCATAGGGGGGGTTCTGGGGAGCATGAGGGGATCTCTGGGGGGGGCTATGGGGGATCTTTCAGCATCTCTGGGAGGCTTTGGGGTCTCAGGGGGGGCTAGGGGATCTCTGGGGATCTCTCTGGAGGGTTCTGGGGCCTCCTGGAGTCTCTATCCAGCTTGGCCCCGTCCCCTACCGGCTCCTCATCCGGGCTCTGCTCCAGGATTTCCAGTCCCTGCGCTACATCGACGGCCTCCCCAGCTCCTTCCAGTTCTTCCTGCCACTGGGGGCTGGGGGGGCCCTGCATCTGCCCCCCACTGCCTTCCTGCCCCCCAGCAAGGAGAAACGCCTCGCCCCTGAGCTGCCCCTGCCCAAGCAGCTCATCTGCCGCTGGTCCAAGGTCAGCAGGAAGGGATGGGGGGGACTGTGGAGAGTTGTGGGGCTGGTGGGGTGTGTGGAAGCTTTGAGGTGGGGCTGGAAGGCCATGGCAGAGCTCTGTAGGACTGGGGGCGAGGTTGGGGGCTGGAGGGCCGTGCAGGGACAATGTAGGACTGGAGGGGGAGTCATGGGGAGCTGGGGGCTGTGCAGGGTGATACGGGGCTGGGATGGTCGTGCAAAGGGCCATTTCCATCTCCCCAAATGCTGGTCCTGCTGTGCATGTGGTCCGGGTGGGAGCTGGGGTGGGATGGGGAGCAGGGGCTGGCCCTGCTGGGGGTCCTGGCCACCCCCAGTGCCCACCCCATCAGGCCTCCTCACCCCCAGCCTTCTGCCCGCAGTGCAACCAGTTCTTTGACCTCCTGCAAGACCTTGTGGACCATGTCAATGACTTCCATGTCAAACCTGAGAAGGATGCAGGGTACTGCTGCCACTGGGAGGGCTGTGCCCGCCATGGCAGGGGCTTCAACGCCAGGTGGGCATGGGTGGCTCTGGGGGGTCTCTGGGTCCCTGGGGGGGGCTATGGGAGCCAGGAGCCCAGCACTGGGCCTGTGCAGGGGGAGTGTCCATCACTCCTTCCCTCCACTCATCCCTTCTTCCCTCCCCTCATCCCTCCCTCCCTCCTTCCCTCCCTCCCTCCCTTCCTCTGGTGCAGGGTGTGAGGTCCTGGCAGGCTGGATGACTGTACTGGCCTGGATGTCCCTGTTCCCACACCCCATAGCCAGGGTACGGGGACAAGAACATGCCCTGGAAGTCAGGACTGACCCCCTCCCTAACATTCCCTTACTGATACTTCCACAGGCAGATAGTGATAGATCAAGGGGAAATGGTTTTACACTGAAAGAGGAGAGATTTAGATTATATCTTGAAGAAATCCTTCCCCGTGGGGGTAGTGAGGCCCTGGCACAGGTTGCCCAGAGAAGCTGTGGCTGCCCCATCCCTAGAAGTGTTCAAGGCCAGGTTGGATGAGTTTTGGAGCAACCTGGGCTGGTGGAAAGTGTCCCTGCCCACAGCAGGTGTGTTGGGATGAGATGAGCTTTAAGCTCCCTTTCAACTCAAACCATTCCATGATTCTGTGATTCCCCTGATCCCGGCAGGTACAAGATGCTGATCCACATCCGGACACACACCAATGAGAAGCCACACCGCTGCCCCACCTGCAACAAGAGCTTCTCCCGCCTGGAGAACCTGAAAATCCACAACCGCTCGCACACAGGTCAGTGCAGCCCCCGCACCGCGCTCACCGGGGGAGCAGCGGGGCCCGGGGGGGCACAGGGGACCCAGCAGGGCTGGTGCCCCCCGGCAGACCCGGTGCTGTCCCGCAGGTGAGAAGCCCTACATCTGCCCCTATGAAGGCTGCAACAAGCGTTACTCCAACTCCAGCGACCGCTTCAAGCACACCCGCACCCACTACGTGGAGAAGCCCTACTCCTGCAAGATGCCGGGCTGCCACAAGCGCTACACTGACCCCAGCTCCCTCCGCAAGCACATCAAAGCCCACGGGCATTTTGTCTCCCCCGAGCACCCAGAGATGCTCAAGGTCCATCCGCCTCCCAAAACGCCCCTGGGCTCGCCAGAGGTGCCCTACGTTAACGGGGCACAGCTCGTCATCCCCAACCCCGCCGCCCTCTTCGCTCCCCCAGGGCTGCCGGCGCTGCCCATCCCTCTGGCACCGGCACCTCTCGACCTCAGCGCCCTGGGCTGCGGGGCTGCGGGTACCCTGCCCGCCCTGCCCGGCCCCGTCCTGCCCCTCAATGGCGGCCCCCTGAACTTGGCCAAGAGCCCGCTGCTGCCCTCGCCCTTCGCGGCGGGGCTGGGGCTGCCTGTCATGTCGCTGCTGGCCGGCGGGGCCAAGGCCGAGGGGGAGAAGGGCAGCGGGGCTGAGGGGCGGCCTCCCAAGGCGGGCAAGGGGCCGGACACCCGGAAGGAGAGGGGCGAAAGGACGGAGCCGGGGCGGTCGCGGGTGCTCCCCGAGAGCCTGGCACTGCTGCCGGGGGCTGTGCTTGACCTCTCAGCCGGTGTCAGCTCGGGGGGCAGCCCCGAGGCGCTGCCCCCTGGCTGGGTGCTCATCCCCCCCGGCTCCCTGCTGCTCAAACCCGCCGCAGTCAACTGAGGGGCTCGACGATGCCCAGGGCCAGCCGCCGGTCCCGTGGGCAGATCCCGCTCCCTGGGGACGGAGGGGCATCGCCCCTTCCTTTCCCCTGCAGCCCCGGCGGGGCCTCGCTCGTGCTTTTAACTGTCACGAAAGAAGAACGGACTCTTCTGAGAAAAGCAATAATCCCTCGGCGGCCAGAGCCGGCTGCAACCCTGCACTGGGGGCAGCTGGGGGCACAGGGGGGTCCCCCTGCCCTCTCGGGCCTGGACAGCCGGATATGCCGCTATTTATTTCTTGACCAGCCCCTTGCTCTGACAGGGCCCTGCTTGGGCTCTCCTGCTTCTGCTGACACGGCGTCTCCCTGCCCGAAGCCTTGGCACTGCCGTGGGGGGCCGCAGCCCCCCGGCCTCCCGCCGCACAGACAGCGGGGTGACAGCTCGGGGACCGCCCGCTCCCGCCGCCCCGAGCTGTGCCCGGCCGTGCCATCCCACCCCGCACGGCCGGCACGGCCACGGGCAGTGCCGCAGCCATGGCCCCTCATGCCGGGCCCAGCTGGCTGGGCACACGCCGGCCTGGCGCCTGCCCGCACCCTCCCGCCGCCTCCCCGGCCCTCCCGTGACAAGGCACACGGCCGCGTGTGCCGCTCGCCGCGCCGGCTCTGCGCCGGGCACAGACCCCTCTAGCTACGTTCATACCTAACCACGCACCGTGAGCGCATGCGGGCGGCGCGGGCACGGCTCTGGGCACCGCCGGCACTGGCTGGCGGGGCACCCGCTCCTCGGGATGCACCGGTGGGATGCTCCCAGGTGAGCCCCCAGCCACGGGGCAGTGGTGGGGCGGGCAGCGTGCCCAGCCTCAGCGTGGGCACAGCTCAAAGCCTCTCCCGGGGGCCATATGTACGTCCCACCGCCGGGCAGGACCCCCACTCACGGCCCGCTCTGAACCATGGGGGTCTCCCCAGCGCTGCCCCTCCATGCTGAGGAGCCCCGGCCACGCGCGCCCCGCAGGGAGCCGGTCTCCCTGGTCTCACCGGCGGCCGCCCGGCGCTGCCCCAGCCCAGCATGGCCGCGGGCCATCGACCAGGCCACCCCGGCCGGTGTAACGTCTCCTCGCTCCTTGTCGGTTTGTTGTTGCACATTCCAGGACATCAGTATTTTAACGGTCTCGAAGTGCCTTTCTATCGTAGTTTCTGGGTTGTTTTTATTTTCCTCCTGTTGGGCTCCATCGCTGTTAGCGTAGCGTGTAAGGACTGCACAAGTACGAGATAAGCTAACGACTGTAACACTATATTCGTCCAGGGGAGAGGAAGTTTATTAAGAAAACAATAAAGTTGAAGTAAGTTCCTGTTTCAATGCCGCGGCCATGGTGACAGCAGTGAGGAGCCCATGCTGGGGGCAGAGGAGTGCTGGAGGGGGTGGGTGTGACCTGTGGGGGGAACAGCTGGCTCTGACTGACCCCTGGCTGTGTCCCCACACTCCTTGGCACCAGTGAAGCCCTGCAGCAGGATGAGCTGCAGGTGGGGACAGCCACAGCGTGTGTCCCCCCCCTCAACCCAGCAGTCATCCACTGGGATGGGAGAAGGGTAATGGCACAGCACCCCCAGGGTATAGAGCCAGAGGTATCCGTGCACTCAGTCCAAGAGCATCCAACCCCGCCCAAAAATAGCTCCCACAGCCTCCCCCAGTGCCATTTGAGCCCTGGCAGCCCTTGATGCCCCGAGGACACCCCTTCTTCCCCAGCTGCCTCCCTCTTCCTCCTCCTTGTCCCCAGGGCAGGGGCTGATCCCTCGGGGGCAGCAGTGGGCAAGTCCCTGCTCCCTCCCCGGGCACGGAGCAGCCAGGCCAGGTGCTGGAGGACACGGTGTTTATTGGCCACCTATAAGTTAAGGGTGAGAGGGACACGGGGGCCAGGGGTGGCGGGAGTCACGTCTCAGCTTTCCGCTCCTTCTCCTTGTCGCCCTTGGCCTGGATGCGGAGCTCCTCGTCCAGCCGCTCCTTGGCTCTCACCACCTGTGGACACGGGGTGACACACAGGGATGGGGTGACACTTCCCCTCACTGCCTCACCCACAGGGGTGCTCGGGCTCTGCCTGTCCCAAATCCCAGGCAGGGGAAGGTGCCCACACAGGCACAGCCCCCGCTGCTCCCTCACTCACCTTGGACTGCAGGTAGAAGGAGCCTCCCACAGACTTGTCGTTCACCTTGAACAAGTGGTCGTAGTTCTGCCGAGAGAAGCTCCGGCTCAGATTCATCTCCACCTTCCCCATTCCCAAACCCTGGGGGCCTCCCGCTCCCTGCAGCATTGCTGGAGGTGACAGGTGTGATCTTGGGGACATGTTGGCTCTGCCTGACTCCACTGTGAGTTCCCACATTCCCGGTCGGGCACGTCCGGGGATCCCATGTCCCCTTTCCTGAGCAGCCCCCCTGGGCAGATGCAGGGGCCAAGCCCCGAGGGCTGCTCCAGCTGGGGCAAGGAATCCTCCAACTGGGATTAACTGGGCCCAGGACAGCACTGGGGAACAGCTGTCACCCCCATGCCAGGCAGCACCCTCAGGGCAGACAGGGCCCTCCGTCCCTGGCTCTGAGGGGCCCTCTACCTTCTGGATCTCCTCAGGGTTGAGGCTGGTGACATTGAGGATCTGCTGAGCTTCCTGGAGGCTGATGCCGATGATCCTGGAGGCGGCAGCAGACTGGGGCCTCTCGGAGCGTCCTCGTGCATCGGCTGCTGCCCGGCTCGCTGCCGGAGACACCCAGGCCATGAGACCCCCACAGTGATCCCCGTGACCTGCAGGCCTTGGGGGGGAATCAGGCAGCAAAGCCCCCGGGCTCTGAGGTGCTCAGAGTCCAGTGTCCCCCTCTGCCCCCCTCCAATCACCCCTGGATGTGATCCCAGTGCCGGGGATGTGTCAGGGGTCAGGGGGGCACCGTTTGCTGCAGGCGGGGCAGGGTTGGGGCTCTCCTGTCCCAGGGATTATCCTGTTGTGCCCTTTGGGGTGCTGGGATCTCTGGGAGCCTGGCAGCGGTGCCAGAGCCAGGCTGGAGCCTGGGAAGGCTGCTGGGAGCCTGGGTTGAGATGAACACCACCAGGCCAGTGCTGGGAGGTGGGTGAGGACTGTCACACTGTGACAGCCTGGCAGGTGTCCCCTGCGGGCAGAGTGTGGGTACGGGGAGCACTGGGGTTCCTGGGGAAGGGTGGGGGTGCAGAGCAGAGCTGGGGCAGGGCAGTGTGGGCACACGGAGCACTCAGAGCAGTGTAACAGCTCCTACCTGCGAACTCCTGACGCAGCGCCCGCATGAAGGCCCGTCCCACCACCTGGGCCCCCACCAGGATGATCTGTGCCAGGTACTTGGCCTGCGGGGACATCCTGCTGTCACAGCCACCACGGGGCCCCATCCCCACACAGGGCCTTCACCCTGTCACCTCTCCCTGTCTCCTGGGGCTTTGCCCTACCCATCCCTGGCCCTGTCCCCCTTTCCCCGACCCTGTCCCCCCTTCCCTGGCCCTGTGACCCCCTCCCTAGGCCCTGTCACCTCTCCATTGGCCCTGTCCCCCTTCCTCTGCCCTGTCCGCCCCGTCTACCCCTCCCCAGGCCCTGTCACTTCTCCCGTGCCCTATCCCCCCTCTCCTGTCCCTGCTCCCCCTCCCCAGGCCCTGTCACTCCTCCCGTGTCCTGTCCCTCTCCCCCTGTCCCTGTCCCCCCTCCCACTGTCCTGTCCGCTCTCCCCCGTCCCTGCCCCCCCAGACCCAGCTCCCTCGCACACTCGCGGGCTCGGTGCCCGTCCCCGGTCCCTGCCCAGCCCCATCCCCGCCGTCCCCCCGCCCCGTCCCCTCTCACCATGTCCCCACCGCCTCTTCCGCCCCCGGCGGTCACGTGGCCGGGGGCGAGGGTCACGGCGGGCACCGAGACGGCGGCGGCGCGGGGCGGAGCGTCCCCTGGCGGGCTCAGCGCCCCCTGGCGGCCGCGCCGCGCGGGAGGTCCGGGCAGTGGCGGGCGGGTGGGGCGCGACTTCCCTCCGCCCCAGTCCCCGTCTCCCTCCCGATGCCGGTCCCTGTGAACTCCCGCTCCTTGTGTCACCCCGGTGCAGGTCCTTCTGCTCCCCCTGGTGCCGCACCCTGTGTCCCCTCGGTCCCTGTGCCCCCCGGCGCCGGTCTCCGTGTCCCCCCCAGTACCCGTGTCCTACCGGTGCCTGTCCCTGTGTCCCCCGCCCTCCCACTGGCCCCCCCCCCGCTCCCCTTGTTCCCCCCCCCCCCGATCCTTGTGTCCTGCCGGCCACGGTGTCCCCCCGCTGTCGGTCCCTGTCCCCCCCCCGTCCCTGTGTCCCCCCGGCTCCACTCCCTGTGTCTCCTCCAGGGACGGTCCCTGTGTCTCCCCAGTCCCCGTGTCCTCCCTTGTGCCGGTCTCGGTGCCCCCCGGTCCCTGTGTCCCCGCTGTCCCGGTGCCCCCTGGTCCCCGTGTCCCCCGGTGTCCGCCCCGGTGTCCGCCCCCCGGTGCTCCCCGCGGTGTCCCGGGATCACGGCAGGACGCGGTGCTGGTGCAGCGGCTTTAATAGCGGGTCCTGCCCGCGGCAGGCCCTGCACATCCTGCTCCTCCTCCTTCTCCTCCTCCTCCTCTCTCTCCTCTCGGTTCCCCCGCCGGCCCTGCGGGTGCGGGGTTTGCCGGGTGGTCCTTGGGGTGCCGGGTCCAGCCTAGTCCTGCGGGACACTCGGTGTGGGTGACGGGCGTGGCAGGGTCTGATGAGACCCGACGGGGGTCGTGTCTCCCCTCCCAAGTCCCTGCACTTACCCACTCGTCCTCATCCACCCCCTCGAAGGAGTCCTGGGGCAGCGGGTCATCTCGGTTGCCCAGCCGGGCCACCATGGCACTCAGGAGCTGTGGGGAGGCCGGGCAGAGCCGTGGGGCACGGGACATCACCCCCAGCCCCACTGCAGGGCGGTCTCCCCACCCAAGCACCCACCTCCTCCTTCTTCTGCTCGTCCGACTTCTCCTCCAGGTACACGGATGCAGGGACGAACTTCCGAGCCGGAGCCTCTTTCGGGGCCTCGCTCACTGGGAGAGCGGCATAACCGTGGGGCAGGAGGGCTTCGCCCCGTGGCCGACAGCCCCCCACACCATCCCCGTGGGCTGGGGGTCCTGCCCTGCCCCTCACCCACCTGGCACCATGCCGGCCGGGCACAGGCTGGCGCGGCGCTGCTGCCCGTCCTGCCCCGCCAGCCAGGCACCGGCACCCAGGGCCGGCTCCCACCAGACGCGGGTCGGCGGGAAGAGGTCGTCCTGGAAATACTCCTTCTGTGGGGGCAAGTGACGTTGAGGGGCGTCCCCTGCCTCTGTCCCCATCCCAGAACACGGCCAGCCTCCCCCTTACCCCCCACCTACCTTGACACGTGGCACGTGGAAAGCCACGGGCTCCAGGGTGCTCTGCCCCAGGCGCAGCGCGCGGGCGAACTCCACCTCCCGCACCTCACACGTCGTTTTGGGCAGGAAGACGAAGCCCTGGTGGGGTGGGGGCGTGAGCGGGGTCTGGCAGCGCAGGCAAGGGGTCAGGGACAGGCAGCACTGCCCCTCTTTACCTTGTGGGGTTCGTTGGAGGTGAAGCTGTTGCACTCAAGGAAATAGGGGGGCTCAGGAGTCACCTCATAGAGAAAGACTCTGGTGTCACCCTGGGGATGGAGTGAGACAGGGGCTGTCAAGGTGCATGGAGGGTCCCTCTGCACTTTTGGGGTGCTGTAGACAGGTAGCCCCCCAGTTTTTTGGAGGGCAAGCCCTCACCTTGCCAGTGAGGAAGACAACGCTGGTATCCTCATCGTAGAAGGGCAGGAGGGTGGAAGGGGCCACATCGAGCCCGAGGACGGACAAGGGTCCCTCAGGCAGAGCCTGTGCCCGGTACAGGAGGATCCTCCTCTCACTGCGGCTGTGGGGAGGGTTCAATGAGGGGGAGCATGGTGTCCCTTGGTGTCCCTGTCCTGGCACGTGTCCCCCTCTTTACCTATCAAAGCCGGACACCAGGAGGTAGTCGCCACCGCAAACCCAAACCAGGCGTGCTCCGCGTCCCCCCTCGGGACCTGGACCCTCCTGTGTGGGGAGAAGGTCACTCTGCCTGCTCAGAGAGAGCTGGGGGTGCGGGCAGGTGCCCTCGGGGGCGTTCCTGCCTGCAGCCCCACCTCTCCAGCCCACCCTCAGTGCCGTGATTGTACCTGTTGAGGCTGAGGGCTGCACCGCGGCTCGTAGAGCCGTATCCGTCCGTCTTTGCTCACTGTCGCCAGCTTCTTCCCATCTGGGCTCCAAGCCATGCTGAAGATCTGGGTAGACAGATGTTGTGTCCCCTCAGTGTCCCAAAGTCACCCCTCAGGTGTCCCCAGGCTTGTCATTCCTTACCTGATCTGTGTGTCCCTGCAGGCACAAGACTTCCTGCTCGGCGCTCAGATCCCAGATCCGCACGGTCATGTCGTAGGAGGAGGAAACCAGGAGATCGGATGCCACGGGGTGGAAGCGGATGGAGTAAATCTTCTCCGTGTGACCTGGGAAGATTGAGTGGTGCGTGGTTGTCCCCAGCTGTGGACACCACTGGGCTGGCTTGTCCCCAGTGTAGGGTGCTCGGTGCGCCCCCTCACCTTGGAGAATGGCTTCAGGCTCCTGCAGTGTCTCCTGCAGCCCTCCCTCAGGGATCCGCCACAGCCGGATCTTGGCGTCTTCACCGGCTGGGGACCAAAAAGGATGGGCAGTGGTTAATGTGGTGATCAGCACGCCTGGAGCCAGGGGACTATCCCGGTACGCTCTAGCGGGGCTGGCACACACACCCACAGCGAGGCGCCGCGGGTCAAAGGGGTCCCAGGAGAGGTCGGCCACTGCCACGCTGTTCTGGATGGTGGGCACGGCTGTGTCGGGGAGGCGGCCGGGCTTGGAAAGCTGCGGGAAAGAGACGGGAGTCACTGGCATGGCACTCACGGCGCCGTGCCGGCCTCCAGCCGCTCCGGGGTACCTCGAGCACGGCGATCTGGCCGCCGGTGGTGAGCAGGGGCAGGGCGACGCGCTGGTGGTTGGCACAGAAGCCGTCGCACTCGCCCGGTGTGGTGAGGCTGAGCCCCCGCAGGTTGGTGAGGTGGGAGTCGCGGTGCAGCACCCGGCCCTGCGCGTGCCGGAAGCGGGAGCTGGGCCCTGCAGCGGGTGAGGGGTAGGTGAGTGCCCCGAACCCCTCCTCAGTGAGGGACCCCGAGCTCACCCTGCTGCCTGCTCACCCAAAATGCTCTGCAGGGACTTCTGGCTGGGGCTGCTGGCGAAGCCGCTGGAGGGGCCGGTGCTGGCTGAGAGCGAGGTGGCTGCACTGCCTGGCGAGGCCAGCGAGGATGGCGAGGAGTAGCCACTGGCCTCCTACAGGAGAGATAGCAGGTGGGCAGGGGGTGCTGGTAGCCCGGCCTTTCCCTGCTGTATAAAGGTGGCAGGGACCCCCCCTCAGCATCCAAAGCACATTCCCAGCACCCCATGCTCACACTCCGGTCGGCGTCGGTGTGGCCGATGTCGGTGTCCGTGTGGCCGATGTCAGTGTCGGCGTGGCTGATATCGGTGTCGGTGTGGCCAGTGTTGGTGTGGTGGGTGAAGGCGATGACAGGGGAGGTGAAGGTCTCTGTGGATCTCCGTGCAGGGTGCAGGCTCACCCTCCCCACCTGCACCAGGCACAGTGGTGGGCATGGGGCAGTGGCAATGCCCCATGCCCCATGGGGCAAGGACACACCCCTGGGTGACACTGACCTGCTGGTTGTCGCCTGCCCACCAGGCTTGGGCATTGGTGGCCGGCAGGGTCCCAGTGCAGTCAGGGAACAGATCCTCATGGAAGTCTTGGACAGACTGTGGGAGAAGGGATGGGGCAAGGTGGGTGTTCCCAAAGTCCCACAGCCTCCTTCCTGCTGCAGCTGAGGCAGTCCTGGACACCCCCAGACACCTCCAGCACCCAGACTCCACTACCCAGCACCCAAATTTCATCCACTTTAAGCACCCAGCACCTATTGCACAACAGCACCCAGCAGGTGGCACCCAGCTATCAGCATCCACTCTCCAGCACCCCAAGTCTTCAGGCAGCACCCAGCTTCCCAGATCCAGCACGCAGCAAACTCACACTCCGTGACCCACTGCCAGCTCCCAGGTTTGACCTCCTCTTCTGCTCTCCCCAGGCTGGGGATTGGGGTCCCACTGCACCCGGGTGCCTTTTGTCACCTGGTGCTGGCGAGGTGTCACCCATGAGATGAAACCAGGCATCCACGACACAGGGCCACCAGCAGCCCCCCCTCACCTTGCGTGGCACCACGTAGCTGACAGGGACGAGGGCAGTGTCGGTGAGCTGCAGGACACGCAGCACCTCGCAGGCCATGACGTCCAGGGCCCGGCGTGGCACGGCCGCCAGGCCCCACGTGCAGCCCTCTGTCCGGCACTGGGTCACTGTGGGGAGGGGGGGATGGACATGAGGTGGGCAGTGCAGGCAGGGGTGAGCCCCCCAGGGCTGCCATGACCCCGGTGCGGGGTGGGACCTGCTTACCCTGGGTGAGCGCTGGCTGCGTGGGGGCCACCTCAAAGCAGTACAGGAGGTTTTCTCCCTGGAAGAGAGGTGGAGTGGACAGGGAATGAGTGAGGCTGCAGGAAGCACCCCATCGCACCCACATGCACCTTCCTGTACCCCTCTGCACCCACATGCACCTTGCTGCAATCCCTGCACCCCACTGCACCTTCCTACATCCACATGCACTTCGATGCGCTCTCCTGCACCCTTCTGTGCCCTCCTGTACCCGCTGCACCCATATGCACCCTGCTGCATCTCCTGCACCCCTCTGCAGCCTCCTGCAACCCCCTGCAACCCCTGCATGCTTCTATACCCCACTGCACCCACAAGCACCTCACTACACTCCCCTGCATCCCCCTGTACCCCCCTGCACCCCGCTGCTGTGGGACCTCACCTTCCCTGCCAACACCAGCAGCCCCGTGTCGGCGTCATACAGTGGGATGGTCACCCTGCAAGGGAAGGGGATGCTGAGCTGGGGGTGCTGAGCTGAGGGCACCCCTCAGTGCAGCACCCTGAAGGCCGTGGTGCTGGATCCTGCTTCCCTGGCTGGTGCGCACCCAAACCTGTGCTGGGGCAGTGCAGGGCAGGATCAGATCCTGTCAGCGGTTGGAGGGCAGTGGTGGAGCTGGGGGGTGCCCTCAGGGTGCTGGGCTAGTCCCCAGCTTACAGCTGGACCCGCACTGTCCCACCCTGGGGTGACATGTTGGCAGCAGGATGGCACTGCCAGCTGCTCCCAGCCCCGGATGCTCGGTGCCTGCTGCGAAGCCGTGCCCAGCTGTGGGGCATCCTGCTCCCAGCCCTGCTCCCAGAACCCGGACATTGCACCCGACCTCACTTAGGAAAGCCACTGGCACCTGCAGGGGAGCCCCAGGGCCGGCCGGGCCGGCTTGGCCAGTTTTGGGTGGGCGCGTGGCACACCCTGGCACCTGCGGTGTTGACCAGCCCGGGGAGTGCCCTGAGGCTGGGCTGTGCCCGCTGGAGCGTGTCCCTGCTCCTTGTCCTGCACCCTGTCCCAGCCTGCAGCCCGGGGCTGCTCCACGGCTGAGGGGGACCATGGCTGGGGGGATGCTCGTGACTGAGGGTCTGGTGGTCAGGACATGCTCCATGGCCAGAGGGGACCATGGCTGGGGGGGCGCTTGGTGGCAGAAGGAGACCAGAGGGATCTGTAACAGGGAATACTCAGTGGCCTGAGGGGACAGTGGTGACAAAAGCACGGAGTCACCCCTGTGCCTTCCCGTGTCAGGGGTTGAGGAGGGAGGGTCGCAGGCAGAGACTGAAGGGACAATCTGTTACCTTTGTTTGACATTTCTGTGGCTGTGCCAAGGGGAGAGAGGTGTTCCATGCCATCCCATGCCATGAAGGATAGGTGTGGCTGGTATGGCACTGTCCTGCCCCAGGGCTGTTGACACAACCCAGGCAAACACTGATGGGATGCCCATGGCAGGCACTGGGGTCCCCTGCCCTGCTGCCACCACTGTCAGCAGCACTACCACCACCACAGGGGCACGGGGTTGGGACAAGGGCACCCTGGGTGCCTGGTTGTCCCAGACCAGCCTGTGCCATCTTCACCATGCCAAACAGGGGATGTTGTCCTGCAGCACTGGGCACAGCTCTGCTGCCACCAGGGCATAGGGACAGCCCTGTGAGGGCCACCCACTGCCTCCCATCCCCCAGAAGACAGTGGCAGGGGCTCTGTGGATGCCAGGGGCATGGAGAGACCAGGATCACAGGGCACTGGGTCCCATGGGTGCCAGGGACCCTGATTACCCTGGCCACACTGGATATGGGGGTGCCAAGGACACTCAGCCCTTGGTGTTACTAGTGGTGCCAGGGGTCCCGTGGGTGCTGGGGATATGAGGGAGATACCTTCACCTGCACCTACCCCCTATACCTGTGTGTCTACACACCAGAGGTGCTGGGGTCCCTGGGACCCCAGCCCCAGGGATGCTGGAGGTCCTGGGGCTGGAGACATGGAAGGTTTGCAGGGTCTGGGAACTGACAGAGTCCTGAATATTCTCTTGGTCCTGGGTATTCTTGTGACTCTGGAGGTCCAGGAGATCTCATGGAGTCCCTGTGGATCCTGGGGGTTCCTGTGACTCTGGGGAGCCCTGGGGTCCCTATGACTCTGGGAGCTCCTGGGATCCCGAGGTCCCTGTGAGTCTGGAAGGTTCTGGGGGTCCCAGAAATTTCTGTGACTTTGAGGAGTCCTGTGATCCCAGAGGTCCTGTGGAGTGCCCAGGGGTCCCTGTGACTCTGGAGTCGCAGATGTCCTGGGTGTCCCAAGGGTCACTGTGATTCTGAGATCCCAGAGATCCGGAGGGTCCCTGTGACTCCGGGGTCCCGGGGGTCCCGGGGGTCGCTGTGA